ACAAGCTACTGTTGGTGAGCAGGAACCAGAACTGCTCTCTTATGATGACCTCCGCCTTCACTGATACGGGAGTGCCAGGCAGTCTCCAAGCATCACCTCCTCCCTGTCTCACTCCAGGAACCTGACGGCCTTCCCTGGGGGGGCCAAGGAGCTGCTACTGAGAGATCTAGACCAGCTCTTCCTCTCCTCTGATTGCCGGCACTTCAACCGCACCGAGTCCCTGAGGTGTGAGGCGTTCACGGCTGGGGCATCCTCCGCAGACGGCCTGGCTGGCCTGTGTTCCAAAGCGCCAGCTCTCCCTGCACTCTCTTCACACTCCTTTGTGGGGCAAGAAAAATGGAATCTAGCCCTGGCCCAGAGGTGTTGAGCTTCCTCTACTTCCCCAGGCTTGCTGACGAGCTGAGTGGCTGGGTCCAGCGCCACCAGAGAGGCCGGCGGAAGATCCCTCAGAGGGCCCAGGAGAGACAGGTAGGAGGGGCGGAGCTGGTTCTAGGAAAGCCACTTGAAGACAAGGGCTGAGTGCCCTGGGGATTTTGAGTGGGCATCTCACTGTGGAGGTTTGTGGGATCGTTTGGGGGAAGTGGAGAGATGGGTGTGAGGTGGCATCAGCTTCTAGGGGTCGTCTGTCTCTTTCCCTTTTCCCTTCACCCTCTTCAGATCCTTAGATACTTCTCGTTCCAGAAATCTCAGCTATGGAAGAAGTCACCTCCAGTTAAGGCAATCCCCACCCAACCCCCTGGGCCCCCAGAAAGGTGAGTTTGGGGGGCTGTTTATTAAGTGAGATTCCACTCTCAAGAGCTATACCCCTAGCAGCTGTCCTGTGCTTTGTCATCATTGTCACCAATGGGATTATGCCTCTCTCATCCATTGGGGCTCTCATGTCTTTTTCTTTCATCCTACTCCCTCCTCCAGTAGCGACTGGACACTGGGCTTAGTTCCCCCAAAATCCTGTTCCCCACCTGCCTAGGGATTCTGTAGGCCAACTGCAGCTATATCGCCACCCAGATCGTTCGCAGCCAGAGTTCTTGGATGCAATTGACCGACGGGAAGACACATTTTATGTTGTCTCCTTCCGGAGGGTGAGCTCCTCCCTGCTCGTCTCTAGCACTCTGGACTCCCTGGCAGTCTGTCTTCGCTGGAAGGGTGTGGAGTGGGGCTGGGGAGCCTGTTGGTGTCTTTCCCTCAACCCTCCCAGTCTGGCCCCTCTGTTCCCAGGACCACTTGCTGCTCCCTGCCATCAGCCACAACAAGACCTCCCGGCCCAAGATGTCCCTGGTGATGCCTGCCATGGCTCCCAATGGTAATTCTTTCCCTCTGGGTGTGGGGGAGGTCCTGAAATTGAGGGCGAGGGAAGTTCCAACAGGGAGATCAGCATGGGGAGCCAAGCGGGGAGGGGGAGAGGAGTGGGGCGTCTGGAGAGATCCTAGACTCATAGGGGAGAAGGAGCAGGAAGTAGGTGGAGAGAAGGAAATGCAGGAGACTTTGATGGGGGAAGAAGAGGGTGCGGGTCCTCCTTTGGTAAAGGTGCTTGGGTGGGCGGCTGGGCTGGGAACCTACCAGACTCTCACTTCCTTTTTTTCTCTTAATGTCCTCTCGTATGTGACCCCACATTCATTGATGTCATTTTCCTCTGCTATCCCTTTTCTTCTCCCTGCACCGAATTCCTCCCTGCCGTCCCATTTAACTCCCCATGGTGGCTCTGCCTCTTCCCATCGCCCTTGCCTTTCCTCCCTGCTCACCTCTACTTTTCTGACCCCTCCCCCGTGTCCTCTCCTCAACTCTCCCCTTCTCACAGAGACCCTGTCAGGCCGGGGAGCCCCCAGAGACTATGAGGAAATGATGCAGATCGAGTGTGAGGTCATGGACACCAGGGTGATTCACATCAAGACCTCCACAGTGCCCCCCTCACTCCGAAAGCAGCCATCCCCTACCCCGGGCAATGCCACAGGTGGCCCCTTGCCAGCCTCTGCGGCCAGCCGGGCCCACCAGGCCTCCCAGCAGCCCCTCTACCTCAGTCATCCCTGACCTCTGCCACGCACGCCAACTTAGAACTAGGGGTGGGGACAGGGTGACCAAGTGGAACTGTTTTCAACTTCCCTAATGCCCGGGCTTGGGGAAATTGGTGAAGGAAAGACAGAGTGGGGGTTAAGCACTTATTTGAGGTGGGGGTTCCCCTATCCCCTTCATATAGGGGGTTCCTCTTATGGCTATGAATCCCCAGTCCCTGCTTCTTTCTTTGAGGGTATTGAGTGAGGTTCAGTTTTGGGGTGGCTGGGCTCCTGTGTCCTTTTCATTCTTTTGTTTCTCTCTTTGGAGGGTGGAGGTGGGAATTTAGGCCCCAGGTGGGACAAAGGAAGTTTTTACATTTTAGTGCTAGTTAGGGGAGTAAAGGAGGGTGGTGGAGGGAGACCAGGCCTGTGTGTGTTCATATCTCCTTTTTTATTATTGAATAAACAACTTAGAGGGAGCTGCAGGAATGGTGGCTGCCTTTCGGGCTCATGGTGGGGAGTTTGGGAGAAAGTGGCTTCTATCGGGCGAGCATCAAAGACACGGGTGGGGCGGGGGTGGGATTGCAGACCTCACATCACCCCCTTGCCCCGATCCCTGCAGTGCTGGAGCATGTCTGTGTCTAGCAGGGATGTCTTGTGGCGTGACAGACTGGAGAGTACAGATCCCTGGAATGTGTCTGAGTAAACAGGAAAGACGGGGCCCCACGCCCTTCAGGGTGAGCAGCCTCTGGGTCCCCCTCTCTCGCAGGTTCTGCCTTCCTCCTCTTGCTTTCCAGGCTGAGCAGCTCACACAGACTGTGGGAACCGGGGCCAGAGGGCTCAGAGCCCAGGAAGGAGCCGCCATGGGGAAAGGGACAGCACTTGGGAGGAAAGGGGGATGTTGCAGGACATCCTCTTAGCCGTACGCTGGAGGAGACTGCGGCTTGAGTCAGATGGAGGAAAACACAGAAGTGGGTCAGGCAGAAAGGACTTCATTCTAATGAGCAGCAAAGGGAGCGGGCTAGAGCAAGGGGTCGGGTCTCAGCCCAGCCGGGTGGGACCCCCTCCAGCTGCTCCTGTCCAACAGTGCCTCAGGCCCTACCCTGCGGGAGTGTCCTGGGTCAGCAGGAGGGTGTGAGCTGGGCCTGGGCTCAGAGCCCAGATGACTGGACAGGGGCTGCCTGGGCCATAGCCCAGGCCTAAAGGAGGAAGGAAGAACCTCACATGTCCAGCCAGGCAACATTCCCCCCTCACCCCGGCCATTACTGTGTTTGGGGTGAAAACAGAAGGAGTAACTATGGCAACCTGGAACTAGGGCTCCCAGGAACTAGACCTCTTCTCCCTCCAGAGGACGGCCCTGGCTCCTCGGCCGCTCTTCCCATCCGGGGCCCTCGAGCCCATCCAGCCCTCTCCCGGCCGTGAGTGCCATGGGAACAAGGATTTCGGAAGCAGATCACTGGAGCCGGGTCCCTGCCTTTTTGTTATTAGATGTCCGTAAACACTCTGAGCCTGGGTTTCCTCATCTGTCAGGTGGGATACTCAGACCTACTCAGGCTGATGTGAGGGTGAAGGATGACATCCTCAGGGTCTGGTCCATGGTAGATGCACGCTCCTCAGCCCTTGCTCCTCCTCTTCCCAATCACATTGTCCTTTTCTCCTCCATCCTGCTGTTATCCCATCTGAGTCCACCGCCGCTCCATTGTCCCCTTGCTCCTTCTCCTTCCTGACCCCAGTCTAGAAAGTACTGAGGTGCTGGCAGCTCAGCTGGGTGCTCTGGGACAGGCCACGTGCACCTCTGCTGAGTGGCAAGGGACAGCTGTCACTTCCGTGTGAACTACATACCCATCAGACCTCTCTTGGCTGAGGGAGTGGCGTGGTGGGAAGGACTGAGAGCGACAGAGAGTAGGGGTACCACAGGGGCGAAGGCAGGTGGGGCTCGGCCGGTGCCCTCCAGGCTGGTGTGCACATCTGTTCCTCTGGCCACACTCCTGCAGGCCACTCAGCATGCCAGGCCACTGTCACCCCTACACCTCATTGGCCCCTTCCTGTCCCAGACTGTCTTAGTCTTCCTGTTCTGCCCCCCTTCTCCAGACCTTGCCTCTTCTCCAGCCCCGTGACCCCACTGTGCCTCGCTGCCCCTTGCTCTCTAGACTCCTTCCCTGCCTTTCTCTGCCCTCTGCCCACTGTGAGCTGTCACTATCAGATTCCACCCTTTATCTGTGGTTCATTTTTTCCCACTTCTGTACTTTTTCCTCCCCATGCCCTGCTTCACTGTCTTTTTCCTTTATTTTTTCTTGGTCTTCTCATCTCCTCGGCTGCTGGCCCTGTGCTTGCCCTTTTTCGTGCCACCTCCTCTATTGCCCTTCCCACGCCTGTCCGCATTCCTTGCCCCCTTCCCTTCCCTCTTCCCTTCCGTTGCTTCCTCTCTTCTCCCACTCGAGTCCTCTCCTCCTCCTTCCTCCCCCTCCCTTCGCTTCCCCACTCCAATTCTCTGTCCTCTTCCCAGCAGTGGGGGCCGGGACTGGGGAGCCTAACGTTTGCCTCATCGTTCTGCTATGGCTTCTGGATACAGCACATCTGGATTCCGGGGCCCAGATGTGTGGTTGCCACAGCAACCTCAGTCCCTCTGGTAAATACAGGCACCCACCCACCCCAGAGCAGAGAACAAAACAATTGTGTGACTTTCTTTTGTCAGGAGATAGAAATGTCTTTCCTCCTCCCTGCTCCCCACACCCATGTCTCCAGGCAAAGGAAGCTTTGAGGGTCCGAACCGTCCGAGGCTCCCTTGCCCCTCTGCAGCCCCAGCCCCTTAGTTCTCTCCTGCTTTCATCTCGGCGTTTTTTTCTTTCCATGTCCCCATCCTCACCCCACCCCAGTTCCCAATGTAGATGTTGTCACCCTCCCCCATCTGATGCAGTTTCTTCTAACTGAAGCTACACAGTAACTGGATGCAGAAGGAAGTTTCAGAAACCCAGAGTCTCCACCCTTCCTTCTCCAAGTCCTTCAGTAAGCCGCTTCATTTGTTTTTGCCCATCTTCAATCTTTTCCTATGCCAGAGCTATTGGTGCAGGAGGGAGCAAAAACCCAGGTAAAATCCACCTTCACCAGCACTAGCACAGTCCCTTGGACAAGCCATTTAAGGTCTGTGAGCCCCCGTTTCCTCGGCCACAGAGTGGGACGAGTGCCTGTGCCGGTAGGAAATGGCTTGAGAACGGAAGCCCAGCGCAGTGTTCTCTCTGCAGCCCGGCCTCTCCCTTGGAGCGCAGCGCCAGCTCCTCCCCCCATCCTTCAGGTCGTTGCCCTCAATTGCCCTTACTCTTCTGTGTCTTCCTTCTCTTCTCCCTGTCGTCCCCTCTCCTTCTCTCCTCTGCCTTTATCCCTCATCCTCCTGACGTCAGCCACTCAAGGGTGGAGGCTCAGTGCTGGACACCTGACTGAGGGTCCAGAGAACAGCCCGCGTAGGGCCTGCTCTGGCCACTGGGCGTCCCTGCCTTTGCGCCTGGATGCCTTGCTTTCCCCCTCGCTCCCAGTCCTCGCCGTGGTGTTGGCAGGCATTTAGTGGGCACCTGCACTCTCCGCGGCAGGAGCTGCTTCAAGAGCCTGAAAACCAGCGGCGAATCAAATTTTAGACAAAGATTATTTCAGAACGTGGAACTACGTCTGTCAGGCTCCCAGAGGCTTCCCTGAATGCCACTGGGACATCTGGAAACCCGCACTCCTCTCTCAGACCCCAGCAGTGGGTTTTTAAAGCATCTAAGACCACTCGTCTGGCTCTTCTCTCCAGGGTCTCCTGGCTACTCTCTGAGCCACATACGGTGACCATACTTCCTAGGTAATAGGACCAAGACAGGGCATAGGGGAAAGAAATGAATGTGGCCATGGAACAGAAATCTGGGGGTGCCAGAGAAAACCCATGCTCTGTGCAGTCTGTTTTCTCTGTAATGCTGCTTCCAGACCCTCCCTCCCCTTTCCTCTCCTGCGCCTCCACCGCACCGCGCTGGGAGATCTGAGGGCCCGCTACCTACTCCTGGCTCTGGGGCCTCACGCCACGGCAAAGAAGGAGGCTGAGCCCAGCTCCGTCCAAGATGCTGACTTCACCCTCCCCATCAAAGCCAGGAAAAAACAGCCACACACACTCAAATGGACACATACGGGGACACCCACGCGAGTGTCCATGTGTGTCTTTGCCTTCAGCCACATGCTAAGTGGGCGTCTGGCCACAGCCACGTGCTGCGTCCACACGCCCTGACCCAGCGGTCTCACCTGGCGTGCAGACAGCGTGCCCCAACCCACGTGGCAGAATCAGGCACATGCAGGCTCTTTCACGAAGTCTCTTTCACTGTCACCTGTGACTTGGCCAAGCTACACCTCAGCGGTGAGGTTTGCTGTGGGATAGAGAGGACGCTATCTTCAGCGTGGAGCTGGGAGTGGACAGTCCTCTGTGGCAAAGTCTCTTTTCCAGCCCCTCGCCAGGCAGCTCGTGGAGAATGAGGCCAGGGAAGCAGCCAGTACGCTCATGTTGGGTGTCTGCCGCCCTGTGCTCCCGCCAGCCCTGTGCCCACCCTGTATCTGCCTCCTGCCTCTAAACCTTCCTCCTAACCTCAGGCTTTCCTCCCATGTCTGCCCTGCACCCCGACTTCCTTCCCAAGGCTTATATCCAGGTGTTCAGCCAAGCCCTTGCCCAGCCCGTGCCCAAGCGCTTGCCCAGCCCGTGCCCAAGCGCCACCTGCCATTTCTCTAGGAATGTGCTGGGTGGGAGAATGAAAAGGGGTTGATGACCCCGGGCTGAGAGCAGGAGAGGGACGTGATGGGTGAGAGAGGCAGCTCAGGGACTGGCAAGCAGGCAAGTGGGGAAAATAGAGGAAGAGATGGCAGGGCTGGGGCAGGGCAGGGACTTAGAGTCCCAGAGTTAGAGAGGAAGGTCACCTTCTGCCTCCTGCCCCCCACCTCTGTGCCCTGCCATACACTGCCAGGGGAGAACTGGTGGGAGGATGAAGGAGCCAGCACTGAGCAATGGATATGAAGTGAGCCCCGAGATCCAGCTAGAGCAGCAGCTGGGAAGAGGGGCGAGGGGAGTGCAGGGGAGGGTGCCGGAGGGGCTGGCCATGAGGAGGGATGTAGGCAGACAACAGAACACGGGTTGGAGAGAAGGGGCAACAGGTGGGGAAATTGTGGGGAAAAGAGAAATGGCAGGAAGGATGGGGAATGTCAAGTCGGGCAAAAGTTAGGGTGGGAGTTAAAAATGGGACCAGGAAAGGACACGGGAGGCGGGGCCAGGGATGGAGGGGTGAGATTAGGTTATGGGAGGACTCAGTGATCCTAGACAGATGGAGGGGGCTGAGCGATGGCAGGAGGAGTGGAGGGCTGGCATGTGGGAGGGCCGGGGCGGGAGGACCTGCCCTATCTCCGCTCCCCTCCCTGACCTCATGCTGGCCCTCCCCTTCTCCTCCCTGCTGGCTGCAGACTCCCTCCTCACTGCCTGCCCAGATCAACAGTCAGTTGGTCCAGTTGGTCGTGGCTCATTGAACCCCTGTTGCAGGGGACAAGAAAGAGGGACCTCCAAAGGAACGAAGGGCTTCCAAGGGGACCCCCTGCCCTGTCCCGAGACACCCCCTCCCAGGGTTGGGGACAGAGCAGGTGCAGAGGCACAGCAGCCACCCTTTGCCCAGGTAAGAAACAGAGCTCTGGGGAGACCAGGTGGAGGAGGAGGAAGAGGCAAGGGGGTTCGGCTTCTCTCATCCCCGTGCCCCTGGTTAAGGTGTGGCGGGAGAGTTCTGGGGAGCGCTTCCCAGGGCAGGGACTCTCTTCTGTTCCTGACAGAGGAAGGCAGCGTGCACTGGGGACCAGACGCCCTTCGGAAGGTGTATGTGAGCAGATGGGGCTGTGTGTGTGAGTGTGGTGTGTGTGTGTGAGTGTGGTGTGTGTGTGTGAGTGTGGTGTGTGTGAGTGTGGTGTGTGTGTGTGTGTGAGTGTGGTGTGTGTGTGTGAGTGTGGTGCCACGACACTCCACCACCCCACTCTCCTCGCCACGACTCCACCACCCACTCTCCTCGCCACGACTCCACCACCCCACTCTCCTCGCCACGACTCCACACCCCACTCTCCTCGCCACGACTCCACACCCCACTCTCCTCGCCACGACTCCACCACCCCACTCTCCTCGCCACGACTCCACCACCCCACTCTCCTCGCCACGACTCCACCACCCACTCTCCTCGCCACGACTCCACCACCCCACT